TTTGTCTTTTGTGTGTCCTCCTCGCTGGTTTCCAGTTAAAGTCACACCTGGGCCTCTGTTGTCAGGACAACACAATGCAAAATATCCGACTTTATGGAGACGACACTTTCATACGAACGAGCCGAACTTTATTTACGCAACACGTAACGCGCGCTAAGATGAGGGTCAAACATTAACAGCAGGAACGCAGAGCGTCGCCCGCGGTAACCGTCGCAGATAAACGCGTCATAAACAGACGAGCAGTGAGTGAAATAAAATGATCCACGCAACCTTTGACCCCAGACAGGTCAGAGGTGTCTGCTCATGGGACAGACTGAAGTCTCGATGTTGTGTCGCAGTGAGATCTTCTTCATGTGCAGCTGCCTGGAAACGCACATGACGGCATTTAACGACCTTTGACCTTTGGTACTTTTCAGCAAGCTGCTCAGGATGTGGACCGGGATACCGCAGCCCGCTGGACGCCATGAAGGGTGAGCCCATCAGCTGCGCGTGACTTTTAGCCAGCAGGTAACACAAAGGGGGGGGGCCTGCTGCTTGTGTCACATGACCTGTGCTGAGGTCACAGGCTTCTTTCTGTTTTGAAGCGAGACCTAGTCGGGGGCGGGCCTAAAGGGCCAACCATGACACGCCCACCCTGACGCTCGGTGTTGAGCTTTCTGAAAAAGTAACAGGTAGCATCACTGCAGCCCGATTCACTCTGACCTGTTAAACCTAAGCAGGATATCAGGGGTCAGAGGTCGCTCAGCAGATAGCCCTGGCGCCTGGTTGGGTGGAGGTCTGTTTGGCCCAGCTGTGGACCTTTCCTGCAGGCTGGAGATCCAGATGTTTGGCTGAGACCCGGGTCTAGGTTAGACGCCGCATCGTGGCGTGGTCGCGGTCCCCGCATGTTTAGGAGACGTTGGGGTTTGGGTCCTCAGCAGGTCCTCTTCACAGCTCACACCTGTTTCTGCTTCAAGGTCCTCGGGAGGAGATCATCTACCTGCCCTGCGTGTACCGCAACACCGGCATCCTGAAGCCTGACTACCTGGCCACTGTGGACGTGAACCCCGAATCCCCCGCCTACTGCCAGGTAGAGCCGATCCTCCTCCTCCTTTACTTTCATATCTAACATCAGAGTCCTCTTCCTCAGTCACAGAGGAACGTTAAGAACAGGCTAACCGATGTGCTGTAGTGCATTGTGACCTTTGACCCCTGCCCTCACAGGTGATCCACCGGCTGCCGATGCCGAACCTTCGTGACGAGCTGCATCACTCCGGCTGGAACGCCTGCAGCAGCTGCTTCGACGACGCCTCCAAGAAGAGAAACTTCCTGATCCTGCCGTCACTCATCTCGTCCCGAATTTACGTGGTTGACGTGGGGACGAATCCCAGAGCGCCCAAAATCCACAAGGTACGCACGCCATGGCACCGGGGGGCGCTGCCTTCACACAGACACACACGGGTACTGATTATGGACACGTTCCTCATAGTAGTCGACTTTTACAAATGCCACGACCGCCTGGTCACACAGCACCATGACTGAGGGCATGCTTACATCCACGCGCTGACCTCTGACCTGAGAGCAGGTCAAAGGTCAGCAATTAGGAGGAAGCAGAGGGCCTGCTGCAGGTCTGTCAGGCATGACCTTGGATCTGTGATGAGAGCTCGGGGTTAAAGATGGCAGTCGGCCTCGTGTCAGCCGTGGAGGGTCAGCGCGGTGGGACGTGAGAAAACCGCTGAAAGTGAAGCTGCGTAACGGGCCGGCGCCGCACTAAAGACTGGAATGTAAGGTCAGGAGGCCGTCCGGTCTTTCAGAGACAGCAGCAGCGCCCTGCACGGGCTTTCAGCTCCTCGTGGCAGAAAACAAGCAGCTGCTCCCCTCAAGTTTGGACAGATGACTCCTTTGGGTCTGCTGTCAGAGAGCGAGGAGGAGGAGGAGTTCATCCAGAGTTCAGGCTGGACGATGAAGCACAGCTGCTCTTTAAAAACATTCAGCATTTAAACACATTCACATGTCTGAATGTTTTTAACACAAAACCACGAGAAAAGGCGCTTTTGGCCGGGCGGCGTTATAGACCACGCTTAAATGAACACTTATAAAATATAAATAAAGTGAATTAACCCGACCCAGGGTCAGGGGACTGTCCTGGGCCGAGACTCTCAGACTGTTTCTGAGTCCTTCCACGAGAATCGTTAAAATTGGACCAAAATGTATTATTTATATGTATCTCCCACATCATTAAGGATATATTTAACTATCAGAAAAATGCATTTTCCCATCTCAGGCATTAGTTTTCTTTTATTATTGATCATATCTTCAAGATGTAGTGACTGTAATTCTTCAACCCCGTTATGGACACTTTGCAGGCTCTCTGAATATTATCATAAAATGTATTTCTAAAGAAATCAATATGTTTACATTAATTAGATGTCCCCCATACTAATTCAATAATTTTACATAGAAAAATGACATAAAATCACATTTTCACTCTCTTAAATCCTGAAATGTAACTGAGTGAAAGCAATCTTGTCATTTTTCATCAAAAATTTAGTTTAACTAAGAATTGTAATCAAAATCAATGATCGGATGATAGCTCCCAATATTTTAGACAGAAATCAGCACACATTAAATTATTTTTTCAGCATTTTGAGAAAATAATATATGAAAATGTAGGTGTGACGGGGTTGAGACTAGCATAACAGGGTTGAAGAGACAAATACAGCTTTACATATAAACAGTTGTTTAAATTCAATGTATTAGCATTATATCTCACTTTGTAACCATAGGAACGACACCAGATACAAACTGCAGTAGAATCAAGTTTTATTGATCTAAAGTAAAAACAACCACAACA